CTTCCACCTCAGCCTTCCAAGTAGCTGGAATTACAGGCACGCGCTACCACACCCGGCTGACTTTTTGATTTCTTGTAGAGATGAGGTCTCGCCAAGTTGTCCAGAAGGGTCTCGAACCTGCGGGCTCAGGCAATCCACTCACCTCAGCCTCCCAAAGGCATGGGATGATAGGCTGAGCCACTGAGCCCGGCTATAAATTTATATTCTATATGGTGGCAAATATTTTATGAGCAGGAAATTGAAAGCTATATTTTAATCACGATATCTATTATTCATAGGTTTTCAAATCTGAAATCAAATTCTAACAGTCTCAATTTGTCTTTTAAAGGTACAGTCTGAAATCAGTGAAATACTGAACAAAAGTATTATTGAAGTAGAAAACCCACAGCATAGCTCAGGAAAAAACCTAGTATTCAGCACAAGCACTGAAAAGGATTTGGTATGTTATTTTGTACAAATCATATGTATATGTAGGTACTTTAAAAATGTGACCGCCACCAGTTTATGTCTACCTTGACATTTTCCCCTTCTTTACAGGAAGAATGGACCATCAGAGACGAAAATAATGAAATTTCTGTTCTGAAAACCCTAAAAAATGTGAGTTTACCTCTGTACTTATGCAATTTTCCCACTTAAGAAAATCTATGAGAAACATTTGACTTAGTCTAAATATTGAAAAATTGTCAAGTAAATTCAGATACAAGGCAGTTTTTATAGCCTATCTATTCACCTAGGATTGACCTAGACCTGGGTGAAGTCCTTGGAAGAGATGTAAGCCAGAGCTACCATGATTGTGTTCAAACTGATTAGAATTCACATTTCCAGTACAGTCATAGCCCTAAAATTCCATGAAGCTAGGAATGCAAGCTAAGGTTGACAAATAGCCCAGAAGTAGAAATATTGAAATTTTCCCTAAACTCCTAGTTGATCTATTGATTCTATCTTTTCCACCTGTCTATGATGGCCTCTTGAAGGACACTAAATTTTTATACCTAAAATTGAGGGATTGGCCTGTGTATCTCACCCCCTAAGGATATGAGTGCAAGTTCTAAGCATATTGTGAAGATTAGAGTTACAGATCTCGAAACAACTACTGTCAAATTTTCTGAAGAAAATGAATTATCTTTACTGTAGAAATGGATAAAATGTTATGGGTGTGTACATAAATCCTCCATAAAGTATTATCTTAATTTATTGGCCATGTGGGCAAATGATAGTACATTTATATTGTACTTTTTGTTACTAGCCTGTAGAAAATCAAGAAGAAATCCCTTCTATGGCGAAAGTTCATCATTTTGCGGATTCCAAGACTCTTCATTTAGTGGAAGAAAAACCCATTGGCAATAGTGTTAACAGTCTCTCTCAAAGTATAATTATTCCATCCCATATACATTTTAAGGACATAGTAACTCCGAGAATTTCAGCAGATAATTCACCTTCAAGCAGAGCTATAAACCCTTCAGAAAATGCTGGCATGCTGAAGAATCATAATAACCTTTATAGTTTTCTACCTACTGCACCTCAAAGTGTGATGTCTCAAGCTGATACAGTAATTCTGGGCACATCCAAAATTACTATGCCTTTTCTTAAGCATGGCTTTTGTGAAAATTTAGATGATATTTGCCATTCTATCAAACAAATGAAGGAAGAGCTGCAAAAATCATACGATAGGGAAGTGGCACTTACAAATGAACTTCAGACTTTAAAAGCTGATCCAAATATTCAAAGTGATGGTAAGTATGACCTGTCCCCTACTCACAAGGAAAAAATTAACTTTATTCAGGAAGAAAACATAGGCAGTAACTTAAATGAAGACAGCAAGTCAAAGAGAATTTTAGAATTAGAGGCATTGGTAAAGAGATTACTCCCACTCAAAGAAACAGTGTTAAAATTCCATGTGAATTTTTGCAGAAAATGTAAAAAACTATCAAAGAGCGAGATACACAGGGGAAAGAAGAATGAGAAAAACAAAGAGATTCCTATCAATGGCAAGAATATTACAGATTTAAAATTCCATTCCAGAGTTCCAAGACATACACTGTCCTTCCTTGACCAAACAAAACATGAAATGAAAGACATAGAAATGCAACCATTTGTAGTAAAACAAGAATCGATCATGCTTGAAAATGAGAAAACGTCCAAAGTCAATTCTGTCACCGAGCAGTGTGCTGCAAAAATTCAGTATTTACAGAATTACCTAAAAGAATCCATGCAGATACAGAAAAAGGTAATAGAACTGGAGAATGAAAATCTAAACCTTAAGACCAAAATAAAACCTCTTATCTTTACCACACAATCTCTGTTACAGAAAATTGAAACATATGAAAAGCAACTTAAGAATTTAGTTGAAGTAAAGAACACTCTTCAGTCTAAGTTAATTAAAACAGAAGACGATGGCAAAGAGTGTCTTAAAGAATTAAAAAAGATAGTTAGTAAATATAATGTTCTCCAAGACCAAAATAAAACTCTAGAAGAAAAAAATAGCCAGCTTTCTTTTGAGAAGCAACAAATGATAGAAACATTCGATCAACTAAAAAGTAAAGAACACAAAACTCAAAATGATATGACCATTGTCAGTAATGAAAATAATCGAGTGAGAATAGAAATGGAAGCAATGAAAACAAATATTCTGTTGATACAAGATGAAAAAGAAATGTTAGAGAACAAAACACATCAGCTTCTAAAGGAGAAAAGCGCACTTGAAAATGAACTAAAAGAAAACCAGTTAGAGATAATGCAGCTAAAAGAGAAAGAAAGATTGGCAAAAACAGAACAAGACACACTTCTTCAAATAATGGAAGCAGTTAAAACTGAAAAACTTAATCTTGAAACAACATTACAAGAATCAACTGCTGCTAGGCAAATGATGAAAAGAGAAATTGAGAATATTCAAACCTACCAGTCTACTGCAGAAGAGAATTTTCTGCAAGAAATCAAAAACGCAAAATCAGAAGCAAGTATTTATAAGAACAGCTTGTCAGAAATAGGCAAGGAATGTGAAATGTTATCAAAAATGGTAATGGAAATTAAAACAGATAATCAGATTCTAAAAGAAGAACTAAAGAAGCATAGTCAAGAAAATGCAAAATTTGAAAACAACATCAGTAGACTTACTGAAGACAAAATACTTTTAGAAAACTATGTAAGAAGTATAGAAAATGAAAGGGATACCTTGGAATTTGAGATGCGGAATCTTCAACGAGAATATTTAAGTTTAAGTGATAAAATCTGTAATCAGCATAAGGACCTACCAAAAACAGCTTACGTTTCAAGAAGAGAGAAATTCCATTTTGACAACTGTGATACTTATGAAGACACTCCTAGGAGGAGGCCTTTAGCTCCTGATTTGAAAGGTATGTATTTTGTGGTGGATAATAAAGATGTGTTTAAGATTATTTTAACTTTTTAGGCACTAGCCAGAGTACAGAAATAAGAAGGAATTTTTAAGATGAGTACAATTTAATTTTGTAAGATTTGTGTCCAACTTGTTATACAGTGAAATTATTTAGAAATTTTTTTCTTTAAGTGCAATTTATATTTTACCTGTATTACTTATGTATATTGGCTATGCACAAAGCAACTTTGGCAGGGAACAGGGGAGGTTTAATTATTATTCTTCTCAAATATAATTAGCACTCTCACCTTTAAAAATTATTCTTTTTTTCTAGGAATTCCAAGTAAACTGTATCAATTATTTCCATCCAAGATGTGTCAATAAACTTCTAAAATGTTTCAAAATTTGTCTGAGTACTTTATCCCACATAATAATTTTAAATTATGTGATTATAGTTGCCTTGTAATTGATTAGACTCATTTTAAAAATTAGAAATTGGAATTAAGTATATATTTTTATATTGTCAAGAATTGTGAAGAATCTGAGATTTTACCCAACTAATAAGCTAGTATATTAGCCTGCTACAGTTTCATGGATTCTAGTGGAAGACATGAGACTCCTGGCTCAAGAGGAAGTACAGCTTGTTACTGTTTTGGGACCCCCCCCCAAACAGAAATCTATATATTTAAAAAGTATATTTATTCTTACACGTTTAAACTTTGGTCACCTTCAATGTACTCTGTTTGATACAATACACTTATTGAGATGCTTTTCCACTGTTCAAAACGGTTTCTGAACTTGTCAATTTTGATGCCTTTTAGGGCTTCTGCAGTTTTTTGTTTCACCTCTTCCACATCAACAAAACATTTCCCTTTGAGGACTTTATTCATTGGGGAAACAACTACAAAAAAAGTAACTCAGGGGAGATAGGGTGAATAGGAAGGGTGGGGCACCGACGGGAGTAACACTGTTTTTAGTCAAAAGCTACTGAACACTCAGTGCGGTATGGGCAGGTGTGTTGTCACAGTGGAAGAACCAGTCACCTGTTTGCCATAACTCAGGATGTTTCCTCTGCAAATAATGATGCAGCCTTCTTAAAACTTCCAGATAAAAACTTTGGTTGACCATGTGATCTGGAGGAACAAATCCAAGTGTACTACAAGGGGCCTGCCCTCCAAAAGATAATCCCAGGTTTGGGGGGTCCCCCCTTGTAATGTCAATAGCCAGAGCATCAGTGTTTCTTCTTTGATTCTCCAAGCCCAAGTTTTTTTGTTTTTTTAGATTCAACATTTTAATAATAAATTGTGCCAGTAGAAGCTTCTCAAAGGCAATGATATATCAATAAATAATCGTTAAATTGAGTTCCTGAGAAAGAACCTACCACATGAAAGCATGTCAGAGTGCTGCAAGTAACAACATGGCATGACTCTAAAATGGCGGAAGCACTGACAGTCACTGTCACAAGCACAGCAGACCTCAGCTATGCCACTCACACACACAAACCGGCACACAGGAGTCTTCTTTTTGGAGTTTAGACACAGATACACTGTCTAAAGTGTTGTTGCCTAGGGAGATACTAAGTAATGGATCCATTATGTTAGCTAAGCACTTCAAGGAAAAAACATGGAATAATATAATGGAAAGGATGATGCATCAGAATTTTTAAAAAAGCAGAAAGGAACTGAGCTTTTTCCTCAAATATGAATCACCTTAAATAGGAATCGTACTAATCGTACTAATCGGAAATAAAGCATATTTTGTGTGTTTTTCTATGTAGTGTGTGTGTGTACACATACCTATACTTCTAAGAAAATATGTATGGCTTACTTATTTTTTATTCCAATGTCACTTTGAAAAATCTTTGCATTTTTAAAAAAGGTTAGAAAGATGGACTGTTTAAACCAAGTTAAGTTCAGACACTTCAAAACACATGACGCAAACGTGAAGCCCCCCAACTCATTCCGTTTCATGATGGCAACACGTCGGTAACAGGAGGCGCAGCGTTCCCAGGGCCCGGCACTGTGGGAATCCCTCGGCGAAGTCTTGGGTGGGCTGGAGCTATAGAATTCCACCCCCCAACTATGTCAAGCACAAGAGACACCCACCAGAGAGAAGGACACACGTCCAGGATAAACTGACATTTTTTGGCATAGCTAAATTAATCCCTTTTGATGTATACAAATTTAGTATATGATACATGATTACGTTTACCACTCCCCCCCCCCCAGTCACGAATTCTCCAAGCCCCAGTTTCTACAGGCAACATGAAGAGGCACACCCAGTGGGTCGCATTACAGAAAAGAATGGGCTTAGAGAACCTAAATCATCTGAAGTGTAGTAAGTGCCTACCCTTGGCTCCAAGTGGCTCCAGAGGAGACACTGTTTCTCTCTTTCAAGACTGCTGGCTATACAATTTGTTGCTGAATTTTGTCAAATGCCTTTTCTATGTTTATTGAGGTAATCTTTACTTTTCAATCTGCTTAATATGGTAAATTATGTTCACTTTGAAACATTATACCAACCTTGCATTCCTGGGATAAACCCCACTAGGTTGTGTTAATGTATATTCCTGGACTCAATTTGATCATATTTTGTTAAAGATTTCTGCTTCTATATTCAGAAGGGCGTTTGTATTATTCTCTTTTAATGCACTGGGAAAATCAAAATGTGTTGAGAAGTGTTCCCCCTCCTCTATTTTCCCCCTCCTCTATTTTCTGAAAGAATTCATGTAGAATTGGTATATTAATATTATTCCTTCCTGACATATATTATAGAATTCCCCAGGGGGACTGGAGTTTTCTAAATGGGAATGTTTTACATTGCAAAATGAATTCTATGAATGGATACAGAACTATTCAGATCTTGTATTTCTTCTATTTCTTGTTGATAATTTGTACATTCTGAAGAATCTGTAAGTTCTCAAATGTATTTTCATAAAATTGTTCCTAATAGTCATTTTTTCAATGTCCAGAGGACTCATGGCAATGCCCCCTCTTTAATTTCTGACATTGGTAATTTGGGTGTTCTCCCTTTCTTCTATATAATTCTTGCTAGAGTTGTATCAATTGTATTTCTCTTTCCAAAAATCAGCTGCTTGCTTCACTGATTTTTCTTTACTGATTTTGTTTTTATTCCATTGATTTCTGTTCTTGTTTTCATAATTTCCTTCCTTCCTTGTTTATTTGGGATTTAATTTGCTCTTTCTCTAGTGTCTTAAGGTAGAATCCCAGGTGATTCATTTGGAACCTTTATTTTTCTCTGCTATATGCATTTAGAATGACAACTCTCCTTCAAGCACTGCATTACCTATACCACACAGTTCAGTGTATTTTCATTTTCATTCAAGTCAAAATATTTTCTCTATCCCTTGTGACTTTTTATTTGACCCAATGGAATATTTAGAAGTGAAATCCTTAATTTCTAAATATTTGAAACTTCTGTTATTTGTTATTTATTTCTAATTTAATTCTCTTGTGATCAGAGAACATACCTGGTATAATTTGTCTTTTTAATTTTAAGACTTGTTTTATTGCCCAGAATATGGTCTACCTTGGTTAACATTTTATGTAAATTGGAGTATTCTATAAAAGTTGGTTTGTTCATTCCATCAGTTTTGGTTTCATGTGTCTTAAAACTCTTTTATATGTGCATACACATTTAGCACTATGATATCCTGTTGGTTAACTAATACCTTCATTATTATGAAATAACCCTCTTTATCCCTGGTGATATTCCCTATTCTAAATCTTTGACTGATATTAATATAGGTCCTCTAGTTGTCTTTGGGTTGGTATTTGCATAGTATATCTTTTTTCATGCTTTTACAATTATTTTGTAGTGCTGAATCAGTAGGAGAAACGTTTAATAGTTAAATGTAAATACATGCCGGGCTTGGTGGCTCAGCCTGTCATCCCGCGCCTTTGGGAGGCTGAGGTGAGTGGACTGCCTGAGCCCGCAGGTTCGAGACCCGCCTGGGCAGCGAGACCTCATCTCTACAATAAATCAAAAAATCAGCCGGGCGTGGTAGCGCATGCCTGTATCCCGGCTACTCAGAAGGCTGAGGCAGAAGGATCGCCAGAGCCCAGCAGGTCGAAGCTGTGGTGGCCGGAAGCGGCCACTGCACTCCAGTCTGGGCG